GAGCAGGGGAGGGTTAGAGAGAGAGAGACACACAGAATCTGAAGCAGGGTCCGGGCTCTGAGCTGTCAACACAGATCCTGATGCAGGATTCGAACCCACAAGCCATGAGATCATGACCTGAGCCAAAGTCGGATGGTTAACCGACTGAGCCACCCAAGAATCCCAGCTAATGGTTTTTCTGAACTCTTTAACAGCCTGATATCTAAGTGCTTTAGAGAAATTCTGCAGAGTTGATTAGATTACACTAATTTCCCATTATTTCATTTTGATTGGGTCTTGCTGCAGATATACTTCAGTTTCTTGATGGAGTTGAGACACTCCCAATATAATCCACAGTCACTCTTAACTCTGTCACCTTAAAAGAATAGTTTTATAAGTTTAAATATTTATTATGAGAGAGAATGAGGCAGAGAGAGAGAGAGAATCCCAAGCAGGTTTCACACTGTCAGTACAGAGCCTGACGTGCAGCTCAAACTCACAAACTGTGAGATCATGATTTGAACTGAAATCAAGATTTGGATAGTCAACCAACTGAACCACCCAGGCATCCCTTAAAATATTATGGTTTGTGCATTCAAGCCCCATGTCGGGCTCTGTGCTGACAGCTCAGAGCCTGGAGCCTGCTTCAGATGCTGTGTCTCCCTCTTCCTTTACCCCTCCCCCGCTCACCCTCTCACTCTTTCTCTCTCTCAAAAATAACTAAATAAAATAAAATAAAGAGATCATTTGAACTCACCCTGCTTCTAAATCCTCGGACCATCTCACTTTTTGTTTCCTTGCCTTAAGCTCTAGGCAGACTGTTTGCCTGCTTTCCCCTGGTCTGCTCACGATTCCTGCGAATGTCCTTGTGACAGTGTCTTGCTCTGTACTGGCCTTCTGTGTTTCTGAGCACAGGTGGATGTCAGAACTTGTGATAACTTGGGGTATTTCCATGCAAAATCCGTAGATAGGCAGCTTTATGGTCAGTGACCGCTGCCACATGTTTCCTTTGCAGCCCCTTGGCCAGAACCCTGAGCAGACCCCTTCCAGTACACTTTGGAGGTGCGATGCTTAGAATGCTTTCTCTCTCTCAGACACACCTAATACCCGCACTTGGCCCACTAATTCCTCTTCCTGGACTGTGCGTCTCCACCTGTGCCTCTTCCTGTTCCCACTCAAGGGTCATCATTCTACGTGATGGTTTCTGAGCACAGAGAACTTGTAATATCTCCCCAGTTGAATCTGCTCCTTCGGCACAGGGATAGAGACACTTATTTCCTTTGACTTTATACTCATCAAAAAAGAAAGCCTCTAATGTGTGTGATTTTAGGAAAATCATTTCATATCGTTCAGTTTTCTTATTTGTCAAAACATGGTTTTTCTACTCCAGATTTTGCAAAAGCTAAAAAAGACAAACACACACACACACACAAACAATGAGGTGCTGAAAATCTTGGACAAAGCCAAACGATAACTTGAGAGATTTGCACACAGACTGATATCACTAGAAACTGGAGACTTTTAATTTTGTTTAATTATTATTATTATTATTAAACATGCTTATGTTGCTTCTAGCAGGGAAATCCAGGAGGCAAGACCCTTGAGGAAAGACGTTCTAGCTTGGACGCCGAGATAGACTCGCTGACTAGCATCTTGGCCGACCTTGAGTGCAGCTCCCCCTACAAGCCTCGGCCCCCACAGGTAAGAGTCTTCTGTAAATGTCACCACACTGGCGGCCACAGGGAGTCCACAGTTACTTGAGAGAACATGCTGCGTCTCATGCCCTTCCATCCTGTTTCGATCTCAGAGTCGGCAGTCTATGTTGTCTTTTTATGGAATATCAACTTATATTAGTTGACAGAAAGCTCTTACAGTGAATCCCCTAGTATTTTTTAAGAGAATACAAGATGTTACGAAATATTGTGAAAATTAAATCTCTTCTTTTTATTGCCCTGTTCTTTTTCTGGCTTTTCCTGTGTGGACTCTTTTGTTATAGGTCCGTACAGTCTTCACAAATATGATTTAGCATGGCTATGTGAAGGTTAAGGTGAGGGCTATCTCTTCTGTAAAGAAACCTCTTATGTTGGATGTTGAAGTGGCTTTCATTTTCTGGTTTTTGTTATAAGTAATACTACAAGGGATATGTTCATGTACGTTTTCTTGTTCAAAATATTTTTCAACATCTTCTAAATTTTGTTATTTATTTTTGAGAGAGAGACAGAGACAGAGAGAGGCAGAGAGACAGAGAGAGGCAGAGAGAGAGAGAGGCAGAGAGAGAGAGAGAGAGAGAGAGAGAGAGAATCCCAAGCAGGCTCCATACTGTCAGTGCAGAGCCCAACATGGGGCTCGATCCCACGAACCATGAGATCACGTATGGAGCTGAAATCAAGACCCTTAACCATCTGAGCTACCCAGGCACCCCTCATCTGTATTTTCTTGGGAGCTATTTCTCTGTCTCAGATTCTCCAGGATGGGATTTCTTCATTGAGGAGTACAATCACTTTCTTAACTTTTATTTCCAAAGGTTGTGGTTAGCTTATACTGGCCATCAACAATTTGAAAATAGATATTTCTCCTCAGTCTCATCAGAATTAGTGATAGCAATTAGAATCTGATTTTTAAAAAAATTTTTAATGTTATATTTATTTCTGAGAGAGAGAGACAGTGTGAGGAGAGGAGGGTCAGAGAGAGAGGGAGACACAGAATCTGAAACAGCCTCCAGGCTCTGAGCTAGCTGTCAGCACAGAGCCTGATGCAGGGCTCAAACCCACGAACCGTGAGATCATGACCTGAGCTGAAGTCAGTCGCTTAACTGACTGGGCCACCCAGGCGCCCCTAGAATCTGATTTTTAAGTGCAAATGGAGCCTTGATATTAGCTCTTCTGTGCATTTCTTTGCTTACTTTGGAGCTTGGCAATTTCTCTGCTCCATAGTTTATCATCTACACTTCAAAAGCTGATCTTCCACTGGTGTTGGTCAGCTCACCTCCCTCACACCTTGAGAAGGCAATGGCAAATCTATTTCAGGGCTTCCAAGTCCTAAGAAGACAGCTAGCAGAGCTCTCGGTGCAAACATGGGGTTGGCACTGTCGTCGCTGTTTTTTGACTGGAATGATGTTTGCTTGACTAAGTGACAGCGCATACGGCACTTGGAGTCTCACTCTTGTTCTTGAGCAGCAGTTCCTCTATTCACAGTGGTTTCTTTCATGAGCTAAAGCCCCAGTCCTGTCTCTCCACAGTCAGTCATCTCCACACCTAAGATGGTAGTGCTTTTCTTCTTTACTTCTTTACACGTTCCCATTACCTTTTCCGAACACATAATGGGCCCATCAGCCGTGTGAGGGCACAAGGCAAAAGACAGCAGATCTTAGTTGTTCCTCACCTGTCTTGGCTCTTGGCTCCACCAGGCCTACCAGCAGTAACAATACATTTCATTTCTGTAAAAATGCCCTGAGCAGCAGGTATGTAGTAGGCACTGTGGTCTCTTGGGGGGACCCTTTGGGAGAAAGAAAGTGGGTGGTTAAAAGGGAGAAAAAGAGAACCAAGCTGCCATTTTCCATGAGCCCATGATTGCAGAAGCCAAACTATGGCAGACATGGTAGAAGCACATGAAAGTGGAAGACTTGCACGCTCACCGGGATGGGTGCCATTGGAATGTTGGGGTGCAGACGGCGGGGGGCAGCCTGAGCTGTAAAGCAGGAAGGTCCAGGGTGCATTCAGAGAACTGCAAGCAGCTGGCTGGATGCTGACGAGGCCACTGAAGGCTTGGAGTGGGCTCTCGGACCCAGAGGTTCCCTACTGAGTGTCTGTGGATACGTGTGAAACGCAGATTGACATTTTAGCCTGTTTTGTATAGATAATGGGGGATAGTTGAAGGTTCTCAAGCGGGGGAAGCTAAAATTCATTTTGGATGACAACAACAACAACAACAACAATAACAAAACAACACCATAGGAACAAGAAGAACTTGGGAACGATGCAGGAGGATGAGCCCAGGCCCGATAATGATTCTTCAACAAGCCTTGCTGACTTCATAAGCAAGTTAATGGCCACTGTTTGGTGCTAAACATTTTTCCAGTTCTACCCAGCAAATACCTCAAGCCCAGGTTCTCAGGACAGTGAGACCAGTGACTTTGCACCTGGGCTCATCTATCTTATGCTCACATATTACTATGCCCCACCCTTTTTGTAATAGAACTTTCACTTCATTGTTTTTTTATCTCCTAAATGATGATTCCCTAATATATACTGAAGGGGTTCTGCCCAGAGGTTTCTGCTTAAGATAGCATTCATTCTTTAAGGCTACGCCTGTGCCTGCCACCCATAAATCACTGCATTTTAATGGGTTATTCGGCAGCTACATTTTGTTTGATCCATCTTACCGTGCACACAGACATGCAATCACCGATATTTGGATAGGACTTTACTGATTGTAAAGCACTTTCACATTTTCTCACTTGAGTAAGATACAGATATCTCAACTCCTAGATACAGAGAGTGTGCTTAACTTTTGTAAGTGACCCAACCATGACGTGGCAGGTAAGTGACCTTCTCAGGATATATGACTACAGTGTGGGCAGAGCTGGACCTTGGCTTTTTTGTGTGTTTGGTTTCAAGTTCTAGAATAAGACAGAGAATGCCAGGATTTTTGTTTGTTTGTCATGTTTTTTGCCAACGACAAACTATACGATCAGTCCTATGAGTAACGGTTTCCCTTAAATGTGGGTTTCTCATCAAAAATAAACCATTCAGAAGGTTAAAAATGTTAATAGTGATAACCGTTAAGTGGAGAAATAAGTCTAGAATTAGGAGAAAAACCTACTTTCATTGTGCCTAAAATTAAAGAGTGAGCCTTTCTACCTTTCTTTTTTAAATTATCTTAATTTAGGAAAGCAAGAGTTAATTGGGAGATACATCCCATTTTTCTGAATTATCTTCACTCTGGTGGAACTGAATTAGATGTGTTAGTATTTATTGGTTAACATAATTATATGCTGTGAGAACAATAATCACACACTTAAAATATTAAAAATATGTTCCAAGAGAAGATGATATCTGCAGGAGACTGTGCTGTGTTGTAATTAAAAGGTACTTGGAAAGTCCTAGAAATGCAGACTGTTAATGCCCAACTTTGATGTTTCCATTTTTGATCCGAAGCAAATTGCAAACTCTGTTGAGTCACGTGAATACTTAAAGTAGGCTAATAGGTCTATGATTTCTCATTATTTAAGCATGTGCTGGATGCTTTCTCAAGCCCACCTCTGAATCACCTTTGTAAAGGCTGCTTTGACTCATGGATCTAAGGGAAAATGATGATATATGCGGAATATTTGCCGAGTGAGAGTTCCAAAGGAGCTCTATTCACGTAACTTAAAAAAAAAAAGTCTGAACTTTTAAAAATAGATTTCATGGAGCACTTTCCTCCTTTTTCCAAGTAAATGTTTTGTGCTCTCAGACTCCCCAACTTTAGTTTTGTGTGCTTATTTATCCATTTTTTTAATTTGAGAAATTTGGCTTAATCCTACATATTCATTCATTTACTTAACATTTATTTCGATCCCACTGTAGATTAGGCATTGGAGATACACAGATCAGTATCCTTGCTCTTGTTCTTTGTTCTGGAGTAACTACTAGGCTTACAGAAGAGACAAGCTTATAAACAATTCAAAAGGACACAAAAGGAGGACTTCCTCGTGCTGCTTGCAGTCACCACGTGACTCACCTGATGTTGAAATTGTTAGAAAATCAAAACTAGGGATTTCAGCATTATACTTTATACCCTTCTACTGAAGTGTCCAGGAGGACCTCACAGAGCCGGTAGCAGGTATACTTACTTGGCTGCATATGTCATGGGAAGGGTGTGGGATGCAAGGTACCAGAAAAACAGGAGTGAGGAAGCCAGGGAATGTTGAAAGCGAATGCCTTGCTTGAAGAATGAGTTAGGGACATTGTGACATATAGGGCATGTGGAATGCAAAGGGGAATTGCAGATGAAGAAATCACATGTACTTAATACCTGGGTAGCCCTCTTGATGCCCAAGGACTCATAGTAAGAGGAGGAATGGCGGGGGGCAGGGGGTGGTGTTGGTTAGCAACTTCTGAAACTTCTGGCTACATTGGAATTGGGGGTAATTTTAAAAACAAGTTTTATAATGTCAAAGTACATACATTTGTGACACTGCACAGAGGTATGCAATTATGCTACCTTAGTGTTTGAAACTAAAATTTCTAATCATTTCTAAATGTGTGTATTAGTTTTAGAAGAGCAGGTATGAGAAGATCAGAGGTAGTTAATGTGTAAATCACAGGCCCAGTATGATCATAGAGTATCAGAGCTTAAGTGAGCTTTCGAGGTCATGTAGCCAAACACTTTGCAGAAGGCAAATTTTTCCCCAGACAGGGAAAGAATATTGCTCAATGAGGCTCAGTTAGAGGCAAGATGAATGATTGCCTTTTTCCTGAACCATGGCATAATGGTTCTTTGTGGATAATAGCAACAACCAGGAGACAGTTTGGTTCTTTTTAGCGTCTCAATTAGTTTATTCCACAGTGTCTCTCTTTTGTGATACTTCTCCTAAAAAAAAAAGTGTCATGGAAACATAGCAGAGGAGTAGATAAAGAACATATGTCAAAGCTAAACAGGAAACTTATGACCATGTAGCACCCATCAGTTAGTATCTATCTAGACCCACTCATTGAACA